CACATGCACTATAATACAACAGTTGATCTGATAACAAAGATGGCTACTGACTAAAAGATGGATAGTGTGAATAGCAAACGGAAACCCTGGACAAAAAGATGATTCATGTCCTGATGGGACAGAACAGGATAGCATGGTATTTTATCATACTACTCAGAACAGCATGTAATTTAGGACTTATGAATTATTTATTTCTGGGATTTTCCATTTAGCATTTTCAACCCTCTTAGACTGCAGGTAATAACTAAAAATGCAGAAAATAAAACTGTGGGGATGGAGAAGAACAGCTTAATAAAAATATGGAAATTATTGTGTAAAAGCAGTACAAAAAATTACAGAGCAAAATCAATAGAATTCAACCAGACTTAATTTGCTGGCATGGGTATATCCATGCCAATGTGTTGCACTGTAGTTTGGATCTTCAATGTCCCCAAAGGCCCAAGTGTAAAAGTATTGCATTCCAGGGTAGCACTATTGGGAGGTGACCATCCCTAAAAGAAGCAAGTGGGGATCTTTAGACATTGAGAGGGGGGTGCGCCCTTAAAGAGGATTATAGGATCTTGGCTCTTTTCCTCTCTCTTTACTCAGGAGGCTAAGAACTGAGGATCATGGTTCAAAGCCAGCCCTGGCAGAAAAGTCTGTGAGACTCTAATCTCCAATTAACCACTAGAAAACCAGAAGTGGTGCTGTTGCTCAAGCAGTAGAGAGCTCGCCTTGAGCTGAAGAGAGCAGGGACAGCACCCAAGCCCAGAGTTCAGACCCACCAACAAAAAAAAAAAAAAAAGGATAGACATCTCTCCACAGGAATTTCAAACTCAGTGTCTACAAAAGTGATCTTAACTTTCCTTGGAAACTTGCTTCTTGCGTATTTTCCTCAGTGAATGATACCAACATTTACTCAGTTTTTGTGACATAAACCAGTGAGTCTTAATTTGTCTCTTTCTTCATGGTGTCTACGCTTCCCTTATTTTAATCTCCAACTATAACATTATTTCTGTTTTCCTGCATTGCTTGATTTTCACAATCTCTTCAGTAACCACTTTGTTCATTAAAAAAAATGGTTGCCTTTATAATTGTCCCTTTTTCCAATAGTTCCTCCTTAAGTTTCTATAGCACAATTAAATAGTTTTGTTATTTCAATGTTTATTTTTGCCTTGAGATAAAATTCAGATTCATCCATTTCTCTTTACTGAGACACCAATCACATCAATGCTATCACAGATTCATCAATGATAGGCCTTTTGTACCTCCATTCCCTCCAGTTAAATTGCCTTTCTCAAATGCTTTCTCACTGCTAATCTTTCCAATGTAGTCTCTTTATATTCTTCTAATCTGTGATGTTCAATATGATAGCCACTTGCCATCTATACTTATTGCCCACTTGAAATACACATATGAATTGAGATGTACTGATAAATATAAAATACACATTAAATTTTACAGGCTTTGTAAAAGGAAAAAACAATGGAAAGTAGCTTAGTAATGACTGTATATTAGTTACAGGTGAAATACTATTTTAGACATTTATTGGGACAAATACATTACTGACATTAATTTCAGCTTTTTTAAATGTTTAATGTGTCCATAAAAAACTTAAAATTATATATGATTGGCTTATATTTGAATTGGACAGCATTTAGACTAGACATATCCCTTTTCCATGTCCTACAAATTATTTATTTACCACCTTTTGCCTTTTAAAATTGCTAAACTATCTCTTGTACTGGTTTGCAAGCAGCTAATAAACAAAGGACTGTATGGATCTAAATGGTAGTTCCAGAAGTAAGGGTATTAAAATTAAAAAGTCAATCTTCCATTATTTTTAGATTCCATACTTGGATATTTAAATACATTAAACTTTTAACTCCAAATCAGTACTTTCTAGGTTATTTATGATCATGAATCGTGCACATTTTCTAGCTAAGATCAAACACAGAAGAATCAACTGTCAAACTATAACCAAGTTTTCAGTTTACTTACTACCATGGTTTTGTTAGGGTTTTCTGTTATTTTTTTTTATCTTAAAACAGCCCTGAAACATGTTGAAGAGCTGTGTAGTGTTTATAAGTACAAGAAATCAATGGGGCTGGGAAGGTGGCTCAGTGGTAGAGTGCTTGCCTTGTATGAGTAAGACCATGGTTCAATTCCTCAGCACCACATAAGCAGAAAGAGCAGGAAGTGGCACTGTGGCTCAAGTGGTAGAGCACTAGTCTTGAGCTGAAGAGCTAGGGACAGTGCCCAGGCCCAGAGTTCAGTCCCCATACCAACAAAAAAAAAAAAAAAAAACTATGGCATGCCTTACAGAATCTTACAGAATATATTCATGTAGATAAGCTGCCTTCAGACGTGAAACAGAAATTAGCTATGAATTTAATGTTAATGAGTCAACAATATATATTAAGAAAGGGCTCTTTAAACAGAAAACATACCAAAATCTCCCATTGACCACTCAGTGACAATGTTGTCATCAGATGCTGACCAACTCATGACAGGATTGTCATCAGAGGTGTTTCCTCTAAAACCAATCATTCAAGTACAGTTAATTCAGTATTTCAGTGACTTTGGGAGAATATACTGTATTCATTGAATTAAGGAAAACCACACACTTGATTCCAAATCCAAACCTTATGCAACATATGATGGTAGCCAGAACAGTGATTTTTGAGGCAAACTCCATACATTTCAATCCTGTGACTAAGTTGCTGCATTACTTTATGCAAATTATTTAACTTTTCTTTGCCTACTTACATTACTCAAGATGCAGATAAAATAGTAGCTGTTGATGGTTGTCAAATGTGGAATGGAACCAACAGGACTGACCTCAAAAAGGCATAAGAAACTAGTGAAAACATACTATATTTTGATTATAGTGGTAATTTTATAACTGCTTATGTTTTTTCAAAATTCAGACTTGAAAGTAAATTATAAATTATAATTTAAACCTGAAGTTAAACAAAAAGAGATTAAACAATGTTGAGGCTGAGGATGTGTAGATTAGTGGTAGAGTGCTTGCCTAGCACACATAAAGCCCCTGGGTTCAATTCCTCAGTACCACATACACAGAAAAAGACAAAAGTGGCGCCATGGCTCACCAAAAAAAAGCAGCTCAGGGACAGTGCCCAGGCCCTGAGTTCAAGCCCCAGAACAAAAACAAAAAAAATTTTTAAAAAGATTAAACACAAGTGAGGCAAGCTAAGCTCAGATAGACCAATGGCGCATGTTTTCTCTAGATCTAAAATACACGAGGGCATGGTAAATTATACAGGACTTCAGGTATTCACACACTGCAAGACCAAAGCAAAATACTCTCAGAGGAAGAACACAAAAGGATACAATGCCTGTATGTCTCCGATCATATAAAATAATATTTATCAAACTCAATTCCAGGAAATGGAAAAAGATTAAACAACATAAATGAAACGTTTAGCACACAAGCAACCCATATGATAACTTTTAAAATAAAATTAACAAGCATTCTAAGGAATAACACAGGAAAAGTATAGGCAGTGTAAGGAAATGCACAATGGCCTCTTAAACCAGAGTTCTAATCTAGCCCTTTTCAAATTAACACGAAGCTAGGATTCACGTATTGAAGTCAATTGCTTATTGTGTTGTTTCAACAATGCATGGGAAGGTGGCTCAGTGGTAGAGCGCTTGCCTTGCATGCCTGAGGCCCTGGGTTCGATTCCTCAGCACCACATAAGCAAAAAGAAAAAAGCCGGAAATGGCGCTGTGGCTCAAGTGGTAGAGCGCTAGCCTTGAGCTGAAGAGCTGAGGGACAGTGCCCAGGCCCAGAGTTCAGGCCCTACGACAGGACCCAAAAAAAAAAAAAAAAAAAAAAAAAACAATGCATGTGAAATACATTCAACCTGTGGTCCTATATAAATGTAGAAAACGGGTTACTTACGGGGCAGTAATACCAAATCACAGGACCACGTGAATGGGGACGTGGAGTCATTTCCTAGGTCACCTTCCGAAAGTAGAACTGTAAAAACGGGGAGCACATCTTTTAGAAAACCGTTGTCTTTAATTTTTCCCAAGTCTATGCACTCTAGATCGATTATGAAGACAAGGCAATGGCTATAATATGGCATGAACGTTCCCCCAAATCGGAGCCAAGGCAATGGCTGTTAATATGGTATAAACACCCCCCCAAAACTCTAGGGGATACCAATGAGAAATGAAGGGCTGAATAGAACATCTTTAGGTAAGAATGGATTAGTTCAGAAGAATACATGAGGGAGGGAGAGGGGTAATGCTGACGGGGTGGGGGGGTGGGGTAGGATGAGACAGTGCCAACTGCCAACTCTAGGGGCAGTTCTAGGCCCAAGGGGGAGGCGCCGATTCTAGGGGAGTCATTGCCGACTCCAGGGGTTAGACTGCCGACTCCAGCCCCTACTGGGGGGGGGGGGGCCGATTGGGGGGGCACCTGGTGGCAGTGGCTGACAGAGCCACGCCCGGGGGTGTCGAGTCCCTGCCCCATGAGGTACTTCACCTGTGCCTGTCTGCTAAGAACAAACATTGTTCCAACCCACGGGCAACAGCAAGCGGTGCCTGAAGCTCGAACCCCAAGTTCCCTCCACAGCCACACCGGGACACTCGGGGGAGTCCGAAAACCTTCACATGACAACCAGCACACACTGGGGAACAGAAGCCGCTTCTCGCGTGTTTCGGTTCCAGAGAACATGGAATGTTCTAGAACTAAAGTTAGAGCGAGCACCCTGCTTCGCAGGCAACCGTTCCCTCAAGCAAACCGGCTCCGAGAGCGCGTTCCACGCCGGAAGTGCCCAAATCCGCAGCACGTGGGGTTACCAGGGCGTTCTTCACGTGACTGGGCGGGACCTCGGGCAAGCTAGCAACCAATGGCAGCCCAGAAGGGCGGTGCCTATGACGCTCCAGGGCCTATCCCGGAAGTGGGGCTGAGGTGGGGGCGGGAAAGGGGGGGGGAGGGTGAAGGCCGGGGTGTGGAAAGTGTGGCGGCCCCGCCCCGTCTCCTGGAACTGCTGCTGCGGCCGCCACCGCCGCCGCCGCCGCCGCCGCTGCAGGAGACCGGCGCGAGGACACAAGCGGAAAGGTGAAAAGCTGGGGAAAAACTGGCGGACGGGGACGAAAGCAAGCGGGATGGGGGAAGCAGGAAGATGGAAAGGAGGAGGGAGGCGAGCACGGGACCCGCCTGGACTCAGGCCCTTACGGAGCTGGGCCGAGCCGGCCCGAACCGGGCCGGGGTGCCTGCAGCACCGAGGGCGCCCGTGCTGCCGCGACGTCGGCGCTACGGATGGGGTGCCTGCTGAGGGTGCCGGGAGGGGGGGTTCCCGTTGTCCCCCCCCATCTTCGCTGAGGGCGTGCGGCCTGGACTGACCCCCCACCGTGGGAATCCAGAAGGGGGGTGGCGGCGCGCGGGGCGGCGCGGCCCGGGAAGGTCGTGGGCTTCCACGGCTGGGGGTGGGGATGGGGCCGGGAGCGGGGCTTTCCGTCCCACGAGGGGCGGCGGCGCCCCCCTTCCCTCCCTCCCTCCCAGCGAGCTGCTCTGCGGCTCCCGTCCTCAGCTCTTCCCCTCCGAGGGCTGGAAAAGTTTGTTGGAAAGTACTCACTAGCCGTGAATGGGTTTTGCAGAAAGGCAAAAAGAACGGACCCGGAAAGCTTTGCCCGTAACCGGACAAAAAATGAGACATTGGCTCGCATGCCCATGGGGAGGGGAAAAAACCAGATTCAAACTTTTTGCACAGTTCCCTTGATAAGGGGGGGGGAAAACCAACTATCATCTCCCCAGGCCACCATGGCGGACGAAATTGATTTCACTACTGGGGATGCAGGGGCTTCCAGCACTTACCCTATGCAGTGCTCGGCCCTGCGCAAAAACGGCTTCGTGGTGCTCAAAGGACGACCATGCAAGATAGTTGAGATGTCAACTTCCAAAACTGGAAAACATGGCCATGCCAAGGTGAGTGTCTTTCCAAGTCATTGCTTGGCTCTAGCGTTCAGGTTTGTGATCCTTTGTAAGATTTCTGGACTTAAAATTTTGTGATAAAGTGGGCGCTGGTGGCCCATGCCTGTAATACTAGCTACAATCTTAGCTCTAATTAACCGCAAAGAGCCAGAAGTAGTGAAATTCAAGTGGTGGAGCGCTGGCATTGAGCAAAAAAGCCAAGGAACAGCGCCCAAGTCCTGAGTTCAAGCCCCAGTAACTGGCAAACTTTTGTTTTGTTTTTGCCTCCCTCAATTCCTAAGGGATTAACCTTTGAATGTTTCCTTTCTTGGGCCCTTACGGTTCATTAAATGGGTACTGAGGCTTTCCTGAATCTCAGTGACCTGCTCTGAAGTTTTGAAAAACTTAAAAGTTTTCTTTATGTACAAGTTTAGTTTACTACATGTTTGTTTACTGCATCTCTTTTTTCCTAAGAAAGTTTTTTCGAAGTAAGTAAAATTAGCTGACCTTGGAAGGAGAAAGGCTCTTATAATGAGTGTTTGGTATTGTGCTCTGGTGTGTGTAATGAGTGATAAGCTTGGCAGAGATTAAACAGGTTTTCCTGTTTTCCCTCAGGTTCACCTTGTCGGCATTGATATTTTTACTGGGAAAAAATATGAAGATATTTGCCCTTCTACTCACAACATGGATGTACCTAATATTAAGAGAAATGATTATCAAGTAAGTACTGATTTTCTTTAGAATGTTGCTTGTTACTTAAAGGTGCCAATATTTTAACAGTACTAATTTGTCAAAACCTGAGACTAGTTTTGTAGGTTTTCCTGACAAATATTTAGATACCACCAATCTTACAAATTGAAGAAATAGTGATAGGTTAACTAGCATTCTTAGGGGTTTTTTTTTAAGTTTTTTTTTGTTGTTGTTATTTTGTGGTGTTTAAACTCAAGTGCTCGTTTGCCAGGCAGGCACTGGTTAATTTTTAATTAAGGTCTCATTCCTATTCCACCACAGTCCAATATGCCTATTTTAGACTTCTAGGATAGATAGGCCTGCACCACCAAGCCCAGCCTCTCCTGTAGAGTTGGACTTTTTTCAAGCTGAACATTGTTTTAGTTTTGCTCAGAACAAGTTGCACATTGTAACCAAGTCCTTCCTGCCGTCAAATATTTCAAATTTAGATAACTTTCTCCTTGATTTTTGTTTTTTTTTTGTTTTTTTCTGTACATATTTGGGTTTCAACTGAGGACCCAGTGCTTTTCATTTAGCTTGTTTACTCACAGCTGATTCTGTACCACTTAAGCCATGTCTCTTTTTACTGATTAATTGAAGATGGAGTTTGAAGGACTTTTTTTGCTCAGACTGACTTCAGACATGGAATCTCCAAATTTCAGTTACCTGATTAGCTGGATTGCAGGCCTGAGCCATTGGTGCCCAACTGTTGATGGTTATTTCTTTTTGCTGATCAGACTTAAGACTCTAGAGCTTGCACTCAGGGCTTGGGCACTATCCATGAGCTTATTTTTCTCAAAGCTGGTGCTTTGCCACTTGATCCACAACTCCATTTCCAGCTTTTTGCTGGTGTAGGTAAGAGTCTCATGGACTTTCTTGGTAGGGCTGGATTTGAACTGTGATCCTCAGATCTCAGCCTCCTGAGTAGCTAGGATTACAGGCATAAGCCCAACTCAGACTTTAGACTTTTAAGAAAGTATTTGAATTTGTCTTCTTGCCAATCAAGTTTATGTATAAATGAATGTGAATCAGAATTTGATACTCTTAAATAGAGAAATAAAATTGCAAACTCTAGATTTAAAGAATACAAGTACATGGGGCTGGGAAGGTGGTTCAGTGGTAGAGCGCTTGCCTTGCATGCCTGAGGCCCGGGGTTCGATTCCTTAGCACCACATAATCAAAAAGAAAAAAGCCAGAAGTGGCGCTGTGGCTCAAGTGGTAGAGCGCTAGCCTTGAGCTGAAGAGCTGAGTGACAGCGCCCAGGCCCTAGAGTTCAGGCCTCACTACCAGACCAAAAAAAAAAAAAAGAATACAAGTACATAGTCAATGTGAAGAAAACATTAACAAAATCATGTTTCTATTTCCTGGAGTTCATTTTGGTAAGTATTATATGATCAGAAGCACATAAGCATTGCACCTTTGTGTTCCTCCCCAAAGAGTATATATACTCCTTTGGTCTCATTGTGTTACATTTGTTTTTATTCAATTTAAACTAATTTCTCAGTATACATTTTATTACATAAATTTTGAAGGAATATTGTTATTAACCACATTTACCCAATGATTTCCTATGTATATGCAGATATTTTTATGTCGTTTTAATCTAGGAGTGGGGTTTTTTTTATTTTTTTATCTCTAGTTGTACAAAGGAGTGTCATTTAATAAAGCAGTTTATGAATACAATACCAGTATTATCCCGTTCAGCATCCTCATCCCACTTTAACCCACCTCTTCCCTTTTCTTAACTTTGTGGTATATACAATCAATTCTTTGGGGATTTTTTTGTTTTTACCAGTCCTGGCGCTTGAACCCAGGGCCTCAGCACTGTCACTGAGCTTCTTTTTGCTCAAGGCCAGCACTCTACCACTTGAGCCACAGCACCACTTCTGGCTTTTTCTGTTTTTGTGGTACTGAGGAATCAAACCTAGGGCTTCATGCATGCTAGGTAAGCACTCTACCACCAAGCCCTAAATGAACTCTTGACTGCATTCTTCCCGCATGTCAGTCATCTACCTCTCTCTTTTTGCTACCCCCTCCCCAACTTTGCACATACCTCTTTCCTGGTCTAGAAAATCATATGTTTTCTAGATGGCTTTGGAGTCTTTGTAGAAATTCATATTGTCTTAAAGAGTTTGGATCTAGCTACTTTTGAGCTAGATGATTTAATTTTAGTGCTGGTCTTAGAGCTTGAACTCAGGGTCTAGATGCTGTCCTTGAGCTTTTATGCTCAAGGCTACCACTTTACGGTAACTTGAACCACAACTGCATGTCCAGCTGATTAATTGGAGATAAGAGTCCTGGACTTTTCCTGCCTGGACTGGCTTTGAACTGTAATCCTCAGATCTCAACCTCTTGAGTAGCTAAGATTACAGCTAATCACGGGCCTTGCACACCTTGCTGCTAGATGACCTTTGATAAGTTTAACAACTTCTTTGAGCCTTTGTCTTCCAATCTACAAAACTGGATTCCTGACAGGATTAAATGAGAAAGTGTACCCAATAAGTAGGTGGATACCAAATAGTTCTATGCTGCTTCCAATTTTCCTATGTAAAAATGCCACTTAATTATCTCATTGTTGGATTATTGATTCAGATATGGTACAGGTGTTCTGTAAACATTTGTTAAATGAAAATGTTTATTCCGTGTAATATTGTGGTTAGGCTAGTGCACCAGAGTAAGATCAAGCATATCATTCTTTTGCCAAAAATTTCTCACCCTGAAATGTGAATATTCTGAACATTCTGTTCATTGTGTTCAATCATACTTATTCAGCACAGAATGCTTTTATCTGTTGTGTTTCAGAACAGTGTTATCAGTGGATGATACCACTACGATACTATGATCAAATGAGCCAGTCATTGTTTAGACTCAGATTTTAATATGAAACTTTAGTTTGGATGTTAATTTGCTATCTAGTAAGGGTGGAGATGTGGCTCAAGTGGTAGAGCCCCAGAATAGAGTAAAAAACCTAAGGGAGAACACTCCAGCCCTGACCTGAGGTTAACCCAACACATACAAAAAGAAAAAAAAACCACTTCTGTTCATTTTCAAAATGTTTTGTGTTATATTTATTATGCTATGGTCTTGCAAAGGGCCTTGATTAAATTCCTATCTTTGTTATTATTTGGCTGTGCTTAGTCCATTGAATTTTCTGAATTCAGTATTTAGAGTGTCAGTTTGGCAGTTAGCTGAAGGTAAAGTATGTTCATCTATTCATTGTAATAAAGTAAGTTATTGTTTATGAAAATAAATACTGATGTTTACAGTTTTAATGTCATGTATTTTGAAAATAAGTTCAAAAGGAAATAAAAATTGTCTTGTGATTGTTCCACCCCAAAATTGTCTTGGATTAGAATTGCTTATTTCTGTTACAATTCTTGTAGTTGTTGTTTGGGGCTCACAGATAATGTAAGATACAAATATAGGCTGGGTACCTGTGGCTCACACCTATAATCCTAGCTACTCTCAGTTATCCACCAAAAAGCTAGAAGTACAGTTGTGGCCCAAGTGATAATCTTGAGCAATCATGGACAGCACTCAGGCCCTTGATTTCAAGCCCAGGCACAGTAACCTTTCCCCCTCCCCCAAAATACAGACACTTCCAGAAATTCCTGTTGTTAAATATAGAAGTGCTTGTTTAGGTTCGAGAACTCTGTTGAATCACATTCTCTTAAGGAAAGTAAGTCAGTGTATATCACCATCACAAATTGGATGCTTTTTCTTTTCTTTTCGTGCCTGTCCTGGGACTTAAACTCAAAGCTTCATCACTGTTCCTGAGCTGGTATGCTCAACACTAGTGCTCTACGTACCATGTGAGCCACACCTCCACTTCTGGCTTTTTGGTGGTTAATGGGAGATGAGTCTCATGGACTTTTCTTGCCCCAGCTGACTTTGAACAAAGATCTTAACCTCCTGAGTACCTAGGAGTGCAAGCATGAACCACCAGCACCAACTAAATGCCTTTCCTATATTCACTAGAGTTTTATCTCTGATTTGATGGCCATTTTCTAGAAGGAAAACTACTTAGAACATGATTGATAAAGTATATATTGAAGACATTTAGATAAATCAGTGAATTGACAAAACTGTGTCTATTAGATCCAAGTAAAGCCAGGCATTGGTTGCTCATGCCTATGTAATCCTGCTTCTCAGGAGGCTGAGATCTGAGGATCACGGTTTAGTGCCCACCCAGGCAGGAAATGCCATGAAATTCTTATCTCCAATTAACCACCAGAAAACTGGAAGTGGCACTGTGGCCTGAAGTGGTAAAGCGCCAATTAGCCTTGAACAAAAGAGCTCAGAGACAGCATCCAGGGCCTGAGTTCAAGCCCTGAACAACTGACAGAAAAGTAAATAAATCCTAATAAATTCTTCAAATAAGTGATATTTCTTCAGAAGATTGAGATATACAAGTTAAACTTGATCATTACAACTTAATGACAAAATAACACTATGAATTTTCCTGAGCTTAGTCTTCTTATACTTTCAGTTTTTTTCTGTGAAACCCTTCCATGAGGCAGTCTTTCTTTGGGAATAGAAAATCTCAAAAGCAGCAGCTAAGCCTAGTATTGTGGTTACAAGAAGAAATTTTGCCAGGAGGTTCAGAAGGATAATAGTGAAAAAGAGCCACTACTCATCTGTTTCTTGACCCGTATATGCTACCTATAGGAAAAATAGAAGTGTGTGTGTGTGTGTGTGTGTGTGTGTGTGTGTGTGTGTGTGCGTGCGTGTGCGTGTGTGTGTCCTGGGACTTGAACTCAGGGCCTGGGTATTGTCCCCTGAGCTTCTTTTGCTCAAAGCTAGTTCTCTACCACTTGAGCCACAGGGCAGCTTTTGGCTTTTTCTGAATAGTTTATTGGTGATATGAGTCTCACAGACTTGCTGGGCACCAGTGGCTCACGCTTGTAATCCCACCTACTCAGGAGGCTGAGATCTGAGGGTCACAGTTCAAAGCCAGCCTGAGCAGGAAAATCCATGAGATTTTTATCTCC